GCTCACGTCCCTCAGCACAAGGTCTAAGAGCCCTTCTGCTATTTCTGTGGTCATTAATTATGACAGCTGGGTCTCTATCAGGGTTTTACAAGCTGGAAGGTACAACAGCTAATTAACATCGTGCTCTTGGTCCCCACAGCCTCCCAGCTGAGCCACAGCTCTGCCAAAATACTTGCTGGAGAGAAGGAAAGGGGAGAGAGGAAAAAAAAAAATATATAAAGAAAGGCAGAAAATCATCTTGGCTCCCAGCCCAAACCTTTCTCTTTTTAAGATGCATTTCAAGAATCTGCTGGCTGGTAACCTCCCTGAGTTACAAGGGAGGCTGCTTGTCAGGAGCTGACCTGAGCTGGATTTAATTGGGAGCCAGTTGGAACGAGATCCAAAGGGCACCTTGGGGAGTCTCCGTGGAGGGTGCCAGGGGGTGGGAACGGGCAGCACACGGGCAGAGAGCAGCTTCTGCAGCCACAGGCACAGCCTGGACCTGCCGTGGGCACTGGCTTTGGGTTGGAGAGCCCCGGGCTGCTCACAGCTCCAGGCAGCTCCCAGGACAGCGGTGCTGACTGGGGATTTACAAACTGGATTAGCTGGGAGCAGCCAGCTGCTCATCCCAGCTCCTTCTCTGAGGCTGCTTGCTGCCCGAGGCACAACCACTGCCTTTCTGCCTCAAAATCCGCCTGTTCTGCAATATTTATGAAGTTGTTTTTTTTGGGGGGAAGGAATATATTAATAGAGGAAAAACAAATATTCTCCAGCTGTGGTTTCCAGTAGAAAATATTGACCAGTTTCCACATCTAAGTATTATCAATATCCTAAATCTTTAATTCCACCAGAAGCAAAACAAGTCCATTTGAGAGTTTCAGTTCATGACTTGGGAACATTATCATTCTTGCTAAATGCAGCCCTTCAGGAAAATATTGACCATCAAACTGCACCTTCAGCTATTTAAAAGTACTCAGGGTATTCCCACTCCTTTACTCCACAGCCTGAGCACCTGCCACCTTGCAGCTTCACCACCGGCTGAAAAGAAGTTTAATTTTTAATGGAGCAACATGACCTTTCTTTCCACTCCAAATGAAGTGACACATGTTCACACAGAGGAAAACCAAACCACACCACGACAGGCTGTGAGTTCAAAAGGCAGTGAAGACACAGGGAGCTCTTTCTGGGCTCTGCTCAGGGCAGCCTCACAGGCTCATCCTCACAGACAAGCAGAACCCAAGCTGTGCTGATCCCTCCGTGTTGCTACCTATCAACACATCATCATTTCAGAACTCCTGGATGCCTGAATATGAAATAGAATCCTTTTGTTTTCCTCCTACATATTTCAGCACTCCCCTCTGCTTCTCACCTGGCTTGTTACCAGCCTCCCCCTGACCACACGTTGCTGCAACCTTTGGCTCCCTCACAAACTGAAATTTTTGGCTTTGATCCTGTAGTGAATCCAGACCCACAGTGATGGTGAGGTGGTATTGGAAAGCAAAGAAAGACCATCTATATATATTTTTTTCCACCCACAGTTCAGACTGGGGTGTGTAAAACTGCTCAGTTTATGCCCTCAGAACCCTTTCACCAGCCCAGTCACCAATGCCAAGCAAAACCTCCCCTGCCTGGTGAAAGAAAAAGCTCACAGTGGGTAAGAAAAAAGTGTCTGGTTGTCCATGGTCTTGTGCCAGGCCAGGGAATGCACCATCAGCCTGGAGCTGCATCCACAGCAGACCCACTGGGCTCCCCAAGCACACCTGGGTACCAAGGTGTACTACTACCCCGAGGCAGTGCCACCCCCAGCAAGGGCACAGGGCACCCACACCAGCACCTTCACTAACAGCATTACACACACACCACCATGTCCCTCAGCACAAAGGTGTTTTATCCAGGAAAGAAGAAGTCTTGAACATGAACTTTTCAGCCTTGAAGCGTTTTAAGCCATCCTCCCCTCACAATTCCCACCACCGTTGGTTGATTTGTTTGCTGCACAACATCATAAACATTTCTACCAGCTAGCAAACTTACAATCCAATTTTTTTCTGCATGAAGTAAAGCCCAGTGTGTATAATGCCCTTTCCTTCCCTTGGAGTAGTTTTCTTTCTTGTTGCCCTGGGTTGTAAGATATGTGTATATTTA